ATTCACGTAGCTGAAGTTGCGTACCTTAGTTCGATTTGGGGGTTTAGTGTAGACCAAGCCTAAGAGACAGTTTAATGACTTCACATTTTTTAAGGACACTAGAACAGATCAAGTTTGTTTTTAAAAAGTGACTTTAGCATTGTTAAGAGGTGCTACATTAACAGCTCCTGGAACCGTTAAGTGCTGTATCCATAGAAGAGGATACACTAAAGGCAACAAGGCAGTGCAAACTTTGGAGCTCCAGCCTTCTACTTAGGGATTTCCAAGTGCCCCACATTTCCATTTCACAATCAAAACTTGAAGCAGCAGTGCACTCTACATAGGGGGTTCAGCTGCATCTGCCAGGTATTGTCGTCTATGGCGCTGCCCCACTCTTGGTCAAACTTTTGACACCACCTCCAAATACCTGATGTTACTCAGCCAGCGTCTCATTACTGCGTTATTTTTGGTGGCTCACCAGTGTAAGAATTCAGCAAGGCATTTATGACCTCGTGTCCTCTCCAATGTCTCAGATTGCCAGCAAGTTGCACAGTGGTTAATAAAATGTGCTAATTTAAAATCTTAAGTATGTAGCATAACTACAGCTCTCTGCTGTTCCAATCTGCTAGATGAGTTTAACAGACAGCACCTAGGGCTCCAGGGCAACGCTTTCTAGACACCCAAGCAGAGTTTCCTTTGCTGGTATGAAACGCTTCTCAGTTTCAAGATCAATGCCTCTGGCCTGAATCAAAAGGAAGTAGCATGCAATAGCCTAAGTTACTTCAGAGATTTAAAAAAAGAGAATGAAAACCCTTATCCCTGCGCTAAGGGCAATAATTTCAAATACAGTATAGCAAAGACTGTCTCATTATAAAGATAGGAATTTTGCACAATGAGACTGTACCATGAATTATCATTGTACAACACAGTAACCATCAGAACAAACCTGAAAATATTAGAGAGAGAGAAAAAAGAACAGGAGTACTTGTGGCACCTTAGAGACTAACAAATTTATTAGAGCATAAGCTTTCGTGGACTACAGCCCACTTCTTCGGATGCATATAAGAGAGAGAGAAGACTGTTTTCTCCTTTTAGTGAATTCAGCACAGGTGACAGATGAAATCCTCCATTCATCCCCCAAATGGGAAGAGCACATGGGAGCGGGCAGTATAAGCTTCCACACACTGTTTCTTGTCAAGACAACTCATGCCCTGGATCTGGACCATGCGTGGGGGTGAGAAAAGCTCAATAGCTATTATTCAATCTTTGTCTTTTTTTGCCATAAATGCCAACATTGGAGATAACTAATGCCAACTGTGGTAATTAGTGTTAAAGGTTAGGGACACTTATCTCCGCACTGGGAATGGGAGAGACACCGTGAGATCATTTCACAACTGCCACTGACTACTTCTAAGGGTAGGTCTACACTTACCCGGTAGTTCGGTGGCAAGCAAATCGAACTTCTGGGTTCGACTTATCGCGTCTTGTCTGGACGAGATAAGTTGAACCTGGAAGTGCTCGCCGTCGCCTGCGGTACTCCAGCTTGGCGAGAGGAGTACCGCGGAGTCGACGGGGGAGCCTGCCTGCCGCGTCTGGACCGAGGTAAGTTCGAACTAAGGTACTTCGAACTTCAGCTACGTTATTCACGTAGCTGAAGTTGCGTACCTTAGTTCGAATTGGGGGGTTAGTGTAGATCTGCCCTAAGATGGCAAAAACTTTTGCTTACTACCAACCTGGCCTGGATTTGAACTGGTGACCTAAGGTCACACATTTCATTTCCCAGTCAAGTATACTTTAAAAATCAACTCCAAGGAGGTAATTTTAGATAGCAAGACAACAATACGTCAAGCTAAGGTCAGTTCAAGGAGGAAGATGGAAAGGCAGCCATGCACCTTGTTTGAGCAGGTTTTCCTGTATGTCAGGGAAAACATATAACAAAAGGTGATTTTAACACAATTATGCTTATATCTCCTTGTACTTTGTCTCTCTCTTTCTCTCTCTGGTTTGTTACCCTTCACAAAGAATATTTGCAAGCAAAGAGGGTTTTTTGTCCCTTAAGAATTCATCATTTGCTAGTTATTCTGTTTATGGAGTACATATCCTTTGTTTGTGATATCACATAATATGGATGCTGTGGAGACAACTGTGATGTAACAATCAGGATTGGACTCCAGGTGGGGAAGAAAAAAAAATAGAGGGAGTGGATGTGAAATCTCAAGAAACAAGGATCCTGTTTCCATGGAGATGTCTCTAGGACTAAGTTATCTCAGACGTCAGTGGTTCTTTACAAATTTGAACAGATGAAAGCTAAACACAGATGAAACATTAACAATAGCCATCTCCATATTATTATTATTATTACCATAGTGCAAAGCACCATAAAGTCACATCACAACGAACAATAAACACAACACATAGGAGTCATGGGCCAGCAATCTTCCTCCACATGTCCTCACACAGCCTTGTGAAACATGCCATTCCACATATCGTCCAGTCAGCCACATTGTTGAATCTCACTCACCACAGGTGCCCACTGACCCTGGCATTCGGCACCAGTCCCTGCAAAACTTGCTCCCACTTTTCCTCCGCTCACCCAAACCACATGTCACACAAACTCAAGTTTCCTTTTACCATCTTATTGATATCAGGTATCACTACAGTTATGCTGTAAATTTGGGTGATTACCTCCTTGTTAGTGTAGCATTTCAATTTGAAGGCAGCGAGTGTCAATATCCTGTTTCTGTCGCATCCACATCTAGCATGCATAAAGCAAGATGCTGAAGACAAGAGATGGAGAAGATACAGGACTGGGACAGGGACTAGCTGGATAAGATGGGGCAGAAAGACTCACTTGTGGGGAAATGGGCAGAAGAATTTATGTCCGATAAAGCACACTTGCCTACAGAGCCTGGAATGGAATCCAAGACTTCAGAGTCTCACCATTCCTCTGCTGTTACAAATATCTGTGAAACCCATTTGCAAGGTGTCTCATCCCCCTCTCGTACTGGTCCACAGAGTATGACAACCTACTACTACTCTGAGGCCTGGTCTATACTACCCGCCTGAATCGGCGGGTAGAAATCGACCTCTCGGGGATCGATTTATCGCGTCCCGTCGGGACGCGACAATCGATCCCCGAATCGGCGCTCTTACTCCACCAGGGGAGGTGGTAGTAAGAGCCGCCGGCGGGAAGCCGCAGAAGTCGATTTTGCCGCCGTCCTCACAACAGGGTAAGTCGGCTGCGATACGCCGAATTCAGCTACGCTATTCACGTAGCTGAATTTGCGTATCTTAAATCGACTCCCCCCTGTAGTGTAGCTGTACCCTCAGTTAACCTGTTAGCTCAAGCAGGAAGTGTTTGTGTGGTGGCTCTAGATTTCAATCCTGCTAACGACATATGCGTGTCACTATGACGCCACATGATGGAATTTCTGTTTTTTCAAGATCTGGGAAGTTACACACAAAACTATGTTAAAAGAACATCAAGTATGCAAAAATTAGGAAATGACAGCAGTAAGGTTGCCAAATTTGGCCTCCTTGTGCATATGCATTATGAGACAGGCTTTAAATTACATGATGACTTATTTTTTTTCCACAGGACCCATGCTCATCCAGTGCACAGCACAGTCCTGCTTCAGTGATGAATCAGGACTGCGTAGTAGAAGAGATTGTTTATAGGATCCCTCCTTCATGTTGCAGAAGCTGGAAGGTGTGTAGGGAAAGAGGCAGAGAATAGCAGGAAGAAAGATGATGGACTCATAGTTAGGGCGGCTGAATGCTGCCCCGGAGAACTGATTTTATCCCTGCCTTTGCCACAGAATTTTCTTATGTAATGCTGGGCAAGTCACTTAACCCAGACTTTTCACACATGATCAAGTAATTGGGCGTTCCTCATTTTCCAAGTGCGTAGCTTGAGATATTGGGCTCTGATTTGAAGAACAGCTAAGAAATCACAGCTACAACTGATGTCAACGTGAGCTATTCTTTGAGCAAGTGAAGTGTCATATAATGCTGAGTACTCTGAACCATCATGTCCTAGGCCTCTCGAATTGGGCATCCAAAATTAGTGGACATTTTTTATATTAATCTCTCTGTGCCTCAGTTCCCCATCTGTAAAATGGGGATAACACTCCACATCTCACAGGGGTGATATGAACATAAATTCATTAGCATTTGTGGAACACTCATGCTACAGTGATGAGCACCACAGAAAAACCCATGAGAAAATTAATAATTCTGTCTGCAGAGCAGGGTTTGACTAATGTGTAGTAAATAAGGCCCGGAGTCACACACTGAACAATGAGAAAACATAATATTGAATAGCTACTCATTAAGTGAGCACCATACATTCTGTGCACTGAATAAGGTAGGGATCCTGTGGAAAAAAATAGTATGATCTCGTAAATAAATACTGTATCATAACGCATATGCGCAAAGAAGCTGCATTGTGATTGTACAGGCAACTTTACTTCAGGCATTTCCTAACTTCTGACTGCTTGACTTTATTAAGATTACAAAGTCCTTTTAACATAGTTTTTTGGTGTGTAATTTTAAAGTGTGTGTGTCACGCCACACAGTAGATGAGGCCTTAACTGGATCAAATTCAACGTCAAGGAACCCTGAATTCCATTGCAATTTTAATTCTGTTTTATTATTTAGCATTTATATTGTGGTAGCACGTAGAGGACCAATAGGTTGGGGCCCTATTGTGCTAGGTGCTGTACAGTCATACACAGGAAGACATGAAGTTCAGGAAACTCACCCATTCTCCTGCAACGAAATATCTTGTGTAGGTTTAGCAAGCCGGTCAATCGATCAGTCAAATAATGTCAGCTGACCACCTATTATTTGACCTTGGTCAAATATTCTAGCAAGAATGCCTGATGTAGGCAGTTGCTTACCTTTTTGATTGAATCATGGTGCCATTCTTTCATTTTTTAGAACTTCATTTAATAGTGTTTTGCATTTTTCCGAGTTAAAATAACTCAGTTAAGTAACTTGTTTCTTGTAATTAGGCATATGTATCTAAGGGTAAGTCTACTGGAGACCATAAGGTCTTACTCTTCTTTTTTACCATTGTTACAGTCCACCTGTGCCACAACAACTGTTTTTCTGCATATCCAGTAGATTAAAAGCAAGGGCCAGTTTTAGGGGATAGCAAGCAGGGCAATTGCCCAGCAAAGTTAAGTTGCTCGGGCTTTGGCTTCAGCCTTCTGCCCTGGGCCCCAGGGAGCCTAATGCTAACACTGCTCTCTGGTTTATTTTGGCAGACCTCCTGAAACCTGCCCCCTCCCCCACCCCAGGGTCCCCGGACCACTGGTTGAAAACCACTGTTCTAAATAATCTATGTTCACGCCAGACACCACTGTCATAAGGACAAGTGCACACACAGATAGCACTAGTACTCTGATCACTGAGCAAAAGGAGCAGCTCCTCTAAAAGCTATACCACCCAGGCTGATATTTTCATAGCTGACTAGAAGTGAGCAATGTCAGTGCTTGGATAGGAGATTTGTGTGGGCACAAATGAGGTGCTACTGGAAGTGGTGTTTATGACTCAGCAGGTGACACTTTCCATTTGGAATCTACTAGGCTAATGCCCAATTGTACTGCTAAGGAGCGTGTCACTATAGGAGGTGCTGTCTTTCAGATGACATGAAAAATCAGAGGTTCTCATTAGTGGGAGTCCTTAAACAGCCTGTACATTTTTCACAGGGAAAGGGGGTTCTCTCCCATGTCATGGCTAAATTCCAGGTTTTTTAGCTGCATTCTACAAATTTAAAATTCTTTCTGCAGTTTCAAGAAGATTCTTCTACATTTCTGAATCCAACTTGTTCCAAAGTGCTGCCATGCTCTGTTTTATCAGCTGCCATGCTCCTTCCCTTACATTACTGTATTTCCATAGTGGGTTAAGAAATTCAGAGTATAGCAGTTTGTAAAGTGCTCTGGAATACTTTGGGGGCAATGTGTGTCCTATAAGTGTAAGATTTTATTAATCTTATTTGTTCTTACCTGCATCAATGGCACACGGGTAATGGTATCGGAAGGAGCAACCTTTGTTGTAGCAGCCTAAGGTGGCTCCTGGCTCTTGGCAGTGGGAACATTTCTGAAAAGGATGGAAAGACAGAAATATTAGCAAATAGGTGAGCCCTTTATATCCTCCCTCCATACACCTTTTCCTGGTATTTCTACCATACAAACTTCAGCAATTTCACACACTATTTTCTCAAAATTTATCAAGAGCCACCAGGTCCCAAAGATCACTTTTTAAATTACCGGTACATTCCCTTCAAACATCAAATAATGGGTCCCGCCATTCAGTGGATAAAACGATAGGTTTTTCAAACAACATACTTTTGCACAGCAGTGGTAACTGTACTTAATGTACTGTTAAATAGCAGGTTTCAGAGTAGCAGACGTGTCTGTATCCAGAAAAAGAATAGGAGTACCTGTGGCACCTTAGAGACTAACAAATTTATTTGCGCATAAGCTTTCGTGGGCTACAGCCCACTTCTTCAGATGCATAGAATGGAACATATATTGAGGAGAGTGCATGAAAAGGTGGGAGTTGTCTTACCAACTCTGAGAGACCAATTAAGTAAGAGAAAAAACTTTTGAAGTGATAATCAAGATAGCCCAGTACAGACAGTTTGATAAGAAGTGTGAGAATACTTACATGGGGAGATAGTTCAATGTTTGTAATGGCTCAGCCATTACAAACACTGAACTTATCTGATGACCATTTTTAATTTCCATTACTTATTCCTAATATCTCAACTGGTTCATATATTTAATAATTTTATCAGATGGGTGTGAATGCAACAAAGTGAGAGCTATTCACTGACTTACTGCAACCTTAATGGCTTTAGAGAATTAGGCCTACGGTGTATTTCATTCAGAGAGCGACTTTATAAGTAAAGTAAGTATTTTTCAAAAGCATAAACTAATGTAACCTTTTGAAGAAAGCTGGTTTCTGACAGGCTGAAGTTTCCCTTCTTTATAAAAGGACCTGTCGTGGCTAGCACGGATTCCATTTAAGATTGCGAGCACCACAACAAAACACACACCCCAATACCTACAAGAACACTCTGGTTATAAAAAATAAACCTATAAGAAACGCAGCAAATTCAGTTTCGGAGATAAAATGTGGCAAAAAGCATTAAAAAATAAGTGCTTGAACAATTGGTCAGAATCACCTGAAATTTGGACCATAACAAAGTTGTCTTTTGAACGCAGACTATACATATATACAGATCTAAAACTGGTCTTTTATTACCAAGCAAGTCTCAGATCTGATCCACAGAGAAGTTCTTGTCTCTATAGTAAGTAGGGGGTTATAGTATAAACACCCTTTTTAAAAAAACAGGGGGAAAATTGACAAAGGCATTCACTGCTCTCTCCACCATGCCATGCAGACAGTGAAGGATGTAGTTTAACATGTAAATGACTGAGTATGAAAGCAAAATCAGCTTCCTCCAACCATATGCCAGGTGCCTCTTTGAATCAAAGCAGATGTAATAAATGGGAAAGTCTGAGATGCCAGTTCTCGTGACTTGTACAAACCCAGTCTTCTCACAGTTATGCCAGTGCACTGTAATCCTGATCTGCAGGATCCTTTACTAAATCAACTCCTGGGTGTCTTTTAAGCAGCAACCCTCAATCATGAAAAACTAGTACAATATTTATGACATAAGAAAGTGTCCTTGAGGTCCAGGATAAAAAAGCCAACTAACTTATTTTTATTTGTCAGAATATGACCCCTGGTTTCCAAAGGTAAAACTTCTAGGACTTTAACCTATACCAAACTGCTTGGACCTCCAGGCAAGTTTTGTAATTCACTTACTCATGGGACTATAACCAGCCTCAACATGTAGCAAATGGCTTTTCCTGGCAAACTATTGAGTCCTGCCTGTAAAGTCAGCCATAGGAGAATCATATGTACTGTACTCCTCGGGGGAATTCTGCACCACTGTGCATGCACAGAATTAATGTCTAGTGCATAATTTTTTTTTCTCCGCAGAAAATACATTCTGCTGGAGAGGTACTGCAGTTACCCCTTTTGCCCACCAAAGGCTGCTGAAGTGCCAGAACAGGGAGCAGCCGCTCCCAGACGGGAGCAGCCCTAGCTGTAGCTAGGGAAAAGAAGAGGCTATATTCCTCACAGTGCCCTGCCCATAGGGCCAGATCATGGAATGCTGGGGGGTCACAGACTGGGGCTCTGAAGGACTAGTGGGGGAGGAGGACATACTGGGGTGGGGGCTGAATGGGGGTGCAGGAGCACCTGGGGACAGAGTGGCTGAGTAGTGGTGTAGGGACACATGGGGACAGGGGCAGATGTGCCTGACTGAATGAGAAAGGCTAGGGGCCAGCCAGGGTCCGCATGGGAGAGGCTCCCTAACAATCCCCCAACCCAAAAAAATCAACTGTTCCATACTTCTTCCACCCACACCCAACAAGCCTCCAAATTCACACCCAGGCTTCTTCCCAGCAATTACTAGCCTCTCCCTCAGCTCCTCCATTACCCCTGAGCCTTTGACCTACTTCTGAGGGGCACAGAAAATATGTTTCTAGATTGTAGTTTAAATGAATTATTACTCACTCAAAGTTCTGTAGTAATATGGCTAGTAAGGAATCTATTTGCCAAAAAAAATTTCCTGAATCTTTTTTCTCTGTATTGTTATAGACATACTTGATGACAGGTATTTTGTAATCAATTACCAACATAATTTAAACTGGAGTAATTATATTGTGTTATTTTGACAAATAAAATATGCAGAATTTTAAAATATTGTGTCCAGAATTTTTAATTTTTTGGTGCACAATTCCCCCAGGAGTAGTACTGACAACAGTCCTAGTTTCACTCATGGCAGTTATGCTCAAAATGCCTCCTCAGGAGTCCTGAATCACACAGCTCTCTACCACCCCCCGCCCCAAGCCCCTCCATTCTCACTTTTAGACATGGCCAACTAAGGCTAATGATTCTAACAGGGCATAGTCCAAGTCAGCCATTCTTCTTGAATGGAGCTCTGAATGCCCAGTGTTATTCCTTTGAGGCACATGCCCTTCCACCCTTGCCTGCTCCTTTGAAGTGCCATAGCACTGCAGCAATAAAAGAGAGCATTCCCACATGTATTCTTCCCCACAATGATCTTTCTTGTACAGAGCACAATCAATAAGAGCAGAGGAGATGGAGCAGCAGAGAATGAGCTGAAGTTGTGGAAAGATATCTTCAAACTAAATGGAATATTTTGAAGAGTGTATTGTGTGATTTAACTGCAGACAAAAAAGTAACTTCAACACACCACAAAACAGTATGTTGCCTTTTTCAAAACACTCCTTTATATTTTATAGCAATCCTCCCTATACAGTTTCAGCCCAGTCTATCCTGCTCTTCTGAGGGTGCTGCAGCATCACAGAAGCACAGAACATTTTGAAGCATGTGTCTTTCCCATAATGTTCAACGTGCCCAATTTTTTGTTCATTTACACGAACAGCCCTGCTCAGAATGGGTCAGGAACTTTTTCACACTACAGTTCTGTTAGTGATGGATAAAGAGAGGTACAAAATTTCAATAAAGTGAGACAGCCAAAGTGCAGGAATCAGCCCTTTATCTCCCTTCTATGCCTGACCAACTGGATTATTACGAAGGTTGCCGGCAACAACCCCCACAACAGCAATTCCCCATTGGACTGCAATTCCATTGACTGCTCAAGGCAGAGATCATCTACTGCTCACTCTCCTGCTGCTGAACAAGTCTCCACTCTGGCAGATGCTGCTGCTTTTCACAACCCACTGACAGTCTAATAACTCCATCTCCTCTATCTCCAGGGACCCACAACCATCTGCTTCTTTCAAGGGAGGGTGGAGGAACCACATACACACACCAAACTACTCTCCATTTCTTTCCAGTTCCCTATCCTTCATACATCAGAAAGAGAATAAATATAGCTGACTACCTGTAAATTTATACAGACATAAAATAACTCAGATCTCTATTAGGGAGATTCTTATATCACATACACATGGTATCAGAGTACCTCTAGATGATTTTAAACATACAGTAAGTGAATAGAGATGGCTAGCTGGTTTCAGCCTAATTCTGCAGAGACATTATTTCAAATTAAGAACCCCCACAAACATGACTGGCAACCTCTTGGAGAAACGCAGAGCTGAAAGAACAGTGGGTTCTGCAGGTCAGGACTGAGACGCACGGAAAGATGCAAGTACGTACAGCTCCTGCTTGCACTATGTCTGACTACGGCCAGCATTAACACCCTCATTTTCACATGTACATAAAATGTGCATTTTACCATTAAAAAAAAATACTAAAAACAAGATATAAACAAATACTGGAACTTGCACAGGTAGATACATGAATTGTGCCTAACTGCCACAAACTAAGCTCTTCAGTTTCTGTTCAAGTTTTCACTCAAACCCCATCCCGCAGACAGTCACCAGGACATGGTAGCAGCTTGCTAGCCGCTTTCAAAGGAATTATGCTATCCTTAGCCAGGGAGAGAGAACACAGGCTCTTAAGGGAAGATAAATTCCTATTGCTCAGTAGGCAGTCTGCTTCACTTCCTCTGCTCTGAAAAGCTGATGACCAGCACTTGGACAAGGCTCCCAGGGAGAAGGGCTGATGAATGGTAATCACTGCCAAGCATCTAGCCAACTCTTGGCTCAAATACAAAGCAGCAATGATTGGTTAACAGGCCTCTCCCTCACAAACCATCTAGAATCACAAAACAGTATCTCTCACCTGGAGTAGGTTGAAGGGAGGGTAGAGTTAGATCTGGGAAAGACACCCCCCCCCAATCTCTCAAACTAAGTTATCAAAGCTATAACAAAGAGAATTTTTTCACTTGGCCAGAGCTCATACTAAAGCCACACACATTATCTTTTCCTCACCATGCTTATTAACAGCTCTCAACTCTTTGTAGCTCCAGCTCAGTCTTCACCTGACAATGTGAAGTAACACACAATCTAGAAGTGCGAACAACAGGGTGACAAATATAGTAGCAGTTCTTAACCAGGGGTACGCATACCTCTGGGGATACATCAACTCATCTAGATATTTGCCTAGTTTTACAACAGGCTACATACGTA